CACTCTGACTACATACTTGTGAAAGACATGTCATCACTTAAAAAACTTGTATAACTGTCTTTTTCTTTTTATATTATGCATGCGTTTTTTCATTATATAATGCTATTTAAAATTCGATCCAATTAATATATATTACCAAAATGTTAGAGGCCTGCGAACGAAAACAACAGAATTTTACCGAAACATTTGTAGTAGTCATTTTGATGTTATAGTATTAACCGAAACTTGGTTGAACGATACTGTTTTAAGCTCTGAACTATTTGATCATAGGTACACTGTACACAGGAAGGATCGACAGTCCAGAACAAAAAAAGATGGAGGAGGAGTATTAATAGCAACTTTGAAGTCTCTAAATCCAAAACGTGTCCTTGCATGGGAGAGTTGTAACGAGAATTTGTGGATAACTTTTGAAAAAAAAGCTTTTAATAAATCGGCACAAACATACGCCTTATGCGCAATTTATCTGCCTCCTCCGGTGACCAGAGGTTCTTTAGACAATTTTCTTGATAACTGTAACCATGTGTTTGAACAAATAAACTCACCTAAATGTATTATAGGTGACTTCAATATGGGAAGTGTAGACTGGAACTTGGTGGGTAGCCCTGCGTACATCCTTTCTGGACTAGCACAATCCTTAGTAGATTTTCACGATTTAAATAATCTGCGTCAAATAAATAATGTAGTCAACCCCAGCAACAAAACGTTGGACTTAATTTTCACAGATATTACTCATTGTGAGGCTTCTTACAGTGAAAAAATCCTAAGTAAAATCGATCCGCCCCACCCCCCTCTTGCCATTGAAATACCAATTAGGAATATGTATAGTCTTGCGCAAAATAAATGTAACATTAGGCACAATTTTTATAAAGCAGATTATGACGCTATTAACACATTCTTAAACAATACTGACTGGAATTCCATCTTCATGAACTGCGTGAATGTCAATGATATGACGACTCGATTCCATCGCGTCCTTGAGGATATTATCGCGAACATGGTTCCGCAATACCCATGCAAAAACAATAAGTATCCCCCTTGGTTTTCGCGTAACTTAATCAATAGACTTAAGGAGAAGGAGAAATTAAGAAAGAAAATGAGAACGTACAATAACCCCCGAGACTCCTTAGAGTATAAACTATTGAAAAAGCGCTGCGAAAAACTAAGTCTAAAATGCTATAATGAACACTTAAGCAACATCGAAAGTCGAATAACTAATAATCCGAAATATTTTTGGACGTTCATCAAGTCTAAAAAAACCAACAGTAGCAACTACCCATCAACAATGACTTTTAATGACCTACGCTCCAGCGATGGCACTGAGATTTGTAATATGTTTGGCAACTACTTTGCATCAGTCCATGGACAAGACGTGCATTTTCCTGACAGTGCACATAATCAAACATGCAGTTTCACTAACTCTGATTCACTCTCGTTGGTTCAAATTGATAATGACGATTTACTCACTAGACTTAATAGACTCGATGTAAACAAAGGAGCGGGACCTGATAACATATCACCACTGTTCGTAAAACGATGTGCTAAGGGACTAGTAACACCATTATTAACAATAATAAACGCTTCGTTACGCTTTGGCGTATTTCCTAGTGTTTGGAAGACTGCAAAAGTTATCCCAATATTTAAAAATGGTGACAGTATAAATGTAAGCAATTACAGACCAATATCCATTCTCAATGTATTTAGTAAGGTATTGGAATCGGTAGTGTGCACAGCGACACAGAAATATTTTCAACAAATGATAACTGATCACCAACATGGCTTTGTCCAATCAAGATCTACTTGCACAGGACTGGCATCTTTCATTGAGGTTGTCACGAAGGCAGTCGATGAAGGAGGTCAGGCTCATGTAGTGTACACAGACTTTAGTAAAGCTTTTGACGGTGTACCACATAACGTTCTTCTCCTGAAGATGTCAGCCTATGGTTATTCAGGACCATTGTTGAAGTGGATGAGATCTTATCTCCAAGAAAGGTCATTCTATGTGGTTGTTAACGGCTACCAGTCATCCAGGTTTTCGATAACATCAGGTGTACCACAGGGCTCGCTCTTGGGCCCTGTTTTATTCAACATTTTCATTAATGACATCCCAAAGTCTATCAAATATTCTATTCCCTTTCTTTATGCCGACGACTTAAAACTTCTCAAAGTGGTACGCTCTGTGGAGGATGCCAAAGCTTTGCAGAATGACCTAGACAATCTTGGGTTGTGGTGTCAAAAAAACGGAATGACACTGAATGCCAGTAAATGTGTATACATAACATTCACCCGTCGAATTAAAGGTTTTCTCAAATACTCCTACAAAATCAACGACTCCATACTAAATGAAGTTGACACGATAAGAGACTTGGGAGTGCTGCTAGACAAAAAATTAACGTATGTACCACATATTGATCACATCGTAAAGAAAGCCTCGAAAACACTCGGTTTCGTTCTTCGTAACGTCAAGGAATTCCGTAAACCCGCTACAAAAATAATAATGTACAACTGCTTAGTGCGAAGCATTCTCGAATATGGGTCAGTGATTTGGCGTCCTCACTACGCGAACCACATGTTGAGAATCGAAAGGATCCAGAAAAGGTTTATGTGGCATTTGTCGTTTTCATCGGGTGTAGCGCAAAGAATACGTTCGTACGATAGCAGGTTAAAAATGTTTAAAATGGTTAACCTTAACAAACGTAGAGACACATTAGATATGATTTTTCTATACAAAATTATCCGTTACAAAATAAATTGTTCTTCACTCCTTAGCCAATTCAAACTTAAAGTGCCGCATAGATATCCCCGTCATAGAATTAAAGCTCTCTTTTCGACGCCAATTCGCAGGACAGTAGCGGGTCGCAACTCGCCAGTTCCTCGTCTATGCAGCTTGTATAACCATTTTATCGTTCATATCAATAATTTAGATATATTTCACGACTCTTTGGTTAAATTCCGTCGATTGATTACATCATCGTGACCTAATTTTCTTTAAACTTTCAAAGCTTTTTTTTTTCTTTTAATAATATTGTTTACTATTTAAGTAAATACATAGATACGAGTCTAGCCCTTCGCGGACTACTTAATTTACTTGCACGTGGTGTTCATCTGTTAAAAATTGTGCAATTAGTATAAACCCTAGAATAGAAACCACTCATAATGTATTTGTTGTAACAATTGTTGATGAACCTTAATAAATAAATAAATCTCTTAACATCATGAAAGAAAAATTTAAATCATTTGACCCACTGTCAAAGCCAACCTTACGTATCTCCTTTAGTAGGATATGTACAAGAAACTATTATAATGATATTGCATTATGGCCACCAAACAAATATTCCTAACATTGACCGCGGCCTCGATCGATCGAATCGAAAAACACTTGGTGTTTTCCCGTAGACAATTTTCAAATCATCCATAATTAAAGCACGGAAATTATACATCTGCAGTTTCCCATGTGAGGTATCACGTTTCTATTGGATAGAAAGTCTTCAAAAACATAACACGTCATTGCAAAACGTATAAAGCAACTTACAATGAATTGATCATTCGTTTAACAATAAGTGAGAACGTCACACGCGTTTTAATTGTATTTACTTAATTTAATGAAAGATGGAAGGACATTTTCAGGAATCGAATTGAAGATTATAAATTGTAGTTGAGAAAGGTGAGTTGTACTAAATATTTTTGGTACTATAGCATCCTACGATGTCTCGAACGCTATAAAAAAAATACAAAATCTTTTTGCCAAAATCTACAGGGACAGCGTGTCTCTAAGACGAGTGATGAGGTAAAGAGATTTAATTTCAAAACATGATTATATGTGCCTAAAATACGGGCTTTTATAAATTTGGTGAAATTCGCCTATGCTAAATTAAGGCATAAATGTAGCAAAAAAAATTAATTATAATTAAAATTTCACTCATTATCTGACATAACTAAGTGTAAGCTTGTTACAAGTATGTAGTGTAACATGAAAATTTAACTACCTATGAGAAAATTAAGCCATAAAAACCGTTATGGTTCACTAGACAGAGAACGATGTCATCGAAATTTACAAATCGCATATTAACGGTGAATTCACAAAACGAAAAGGAAGACTGTTCATTTCTCCGTAAATGTTTTTTTCTACTCTTTTACTCTGTCTGTCAATTATAATATCGTAAACCATATCACCAAGGCGTTCTTTTTAGTTCTGAATCAAAATTATATTGTCTATGGTACCTGCTACTGAATTGAAAAATTTATGAGTTTCAAAAAAAAAGAACGTGTTACTTTTGCTAATTAAAATATCAACTATGACGCTGCTCAAACGCTCTACTGCCTCCTGATTTGTTCAATTGGCCTAAAGGTCTTACGACAGGGCCATAAATCATTATAAAAAAATGATTCATTAAAATAGCGGTACTGGGCCACTTCTGTCTCTTTTTTTTGTTTTTGTTTTGGGTTTTTGTTTGAGTTTGTTGTCGTAGATTGTTAACAAAATATCTGCCGTCCACTAACTAAAATGCAACTAAGTGACAACTGCTCAAATAACCGTTAGCAAAAAATAGAGCACAAAATTCTCTTTTAAAATTAGTTAACGTGTTCGGCTTATCGCAATTTACCCTAATAATGCATAGCTGAAATATCATTAAACAATATCGATATTCCAAAACTGGGTTAAGGTTTTTTATGATATCTCAAAAAAATATTTTGTCACTTAATCCTTGTTTTAGTTAAAGAACGGCTGTTTTTATTTATTTATTTTTTTATTTATACAGTATAGTTATACATTAATTATTGTCCAGGTTTCATTATTTTATTTACTCGTAAAAAGTACCTATTGTTTACAATTATTACATGATTAGGTCTTAAAATCTACCTATTACTTAGGCCACTCGGCAAAGCTTCATGGCGTAAACATACGACTCGACTTTAAGAACCCCCATTATTGAACGATTACATAAAATACTATTTTAATGGCTTCATGAGGAAATTTGATTGATTTTAATGTTCTTTAATAGATGATGGTCAAGGCGAAGTCTCAGGGCCTCGTGTCCGATTTGATGCCAAATCTGATGCTGCTGCGGGTGTTTGGCCATTTCATGTTCAACTATGTACCAGGTATGTTATTTTATTTGTTGTAGTAACGTAAAAACTGTAGATATATGAATTTTGATTTCATTCTGTAGATTCATCTATTTATTAATGAAGTATTTTTTGTTGCATATTAAAATTACAATGACAATATATAACAGTAGGACTTGAAACAATTTTTTTTCGGATCCAATTCGCATATATTTGTTTATTAACAAACCGGCGTTTCAGGCCCTTTACAGATACCATGGTCACGACTCATTATGCGACGTGTAGTCGAAAAAAAAAGTCTCGTTTTCCATGTAAAACAATCGTAAGAACCTAAGAGCTCGAAACATATAACAGCAGTCTATGTATAAAATAATTGTAATTTTTTTACAAAACTAATACCGACCTCAAAAGTTCATAGAATTACAACTATTTACCAAGTTTTATTGAAACCGGTTACCGGAAAGTGCGCGAAAACTTATTCATCCCCTGGTTCGCCACCCTTAGAGGTGGAATATTTTCTTGAAATTTAAATGGGACCAATACTGAGGTACCCTCTTTCCAACAAAAAATAATAATTAAAATCGGTTCACAAATACCGGCGTAATCGCGTAATATACATACATAAAAAATACAGTCGAATTGAGAACCTCCTCCTTTTTTTTCGAAGTCGGTTAGTAATAAGCTATTCCGTTCCATTCCGTTCCGCGGCAATGTAAATTTAGCCTTTATGGTGTTAAATATTGTCATTATAATTTCGCTGCCGGCAGTTATTTGCTATTTATTAATAATGTAATTATGCACAATTAACATAAGATTAATTATGCTATGGTTACAAATATTTGCTTCCATTCCGCAGTAATGTAAATTGAGCCTACGTTTCCCAATAACGAATTTCATCCTTCGTAAACTATCCAAAACTTGTTATATGCCAGGTAAAGACTTAATTGTGAGGTTTTGCTTCGAAGTCTGGATTAAATTTTAACTTAAGAAAGTTTTAAGTTAAGTTTCAGAATCGAAATTTTGGCGTGTTTTCACGTATTGTTTCAAGACGTTAACTTCTCATAATTAACTTTTACATATAACAAACTGGCTGACGGGACAGCAGAGGACATTAAATTGAGTAGTGTGTATATTATGTTATTTCAATTGTAGTAAGGATTGCAATGCTTTTGAGACAGACCTCGGAGTATCGCGGCGCATTTTTCTCTGCGTCTCAGAGTATTGAAATTTATACCTTATTACAATTGAAAAAAGTGTAAAATACACATTGATAAATTTTATGTCTTCTGCCTTATAGGCTACCGCAGTAGTTTGCGCTAGCCCTAACGTTCAATTTGCTGCGGAACGGAACGGAAGCGAACTTTTGTAACTATAGCATAATACATTTTATGTCAATTGTGTAACGTACAAACTAGATACGACATGGTTGCTACGGGAATTCCCCAGACTACGCGAGAATTTCCCGAAGGACGTGTGACCTGTTTTTTGGTTCATATCAAGTTTGTACGTTACACATTTAATATAAAGTTAATTATACTGTGTTTAAAAAAAATGTGCTTCCATTCCGTTCCGATGTAAATTGAGCGTAAGACAACAGTAGTGTTAATTCGCTCAGCTATGGCGCATTTTAATAACAATGTTGCAATTTCAGACGATGGCAGCATGTCAATGCTTTTGCGCAAAATCTATGCCAGCATGCATGCGTTTCTCATTTTCATACAATTTGTATGCATGGGCATCAATATGGCAAAATACTCGGACGAGGTTAACGAACTCACGGCCAATACGATTACTGTTCTGTTCTTTACGCATTCCTTGATCAAGTTGGTTTTCTTCGCTCTTAACTCAAAGAGTTTTTACAGGTAAGTTCATGGTACATCACGGGCAAGTTTTATGTCAATTTCGTTTCGTGCGGCACGGGTATGATTTATAAAAATTGAAAGTCCTGCAAGGGTGAGCGATGTGCCCTTCTTTGTTTATTGTTGCACAATTATCCTATTATAAAAATTCTCAATTTTGAAGTGCGTTAAATAAATTTTAGTAGTACTGAATCTATAAATGACAATACCAACAATGACGTTTTAGACAACCATTATCAATTACCTAATCTCAAACTAGAGAATCCCTTGTACTTAAGGGACACTATCCTGAATATCCAGACCAGATTCAATAGAAAAGTTAATTTTTCATATTGGTTCAACCAGAAAAAAAACCTAGGACCTCCTCAACTCGCGCCCACAGTGCTAACTGTTTCAAGAAACGAAATGAAGTAAAGAATAATTGTACCAACCAAACCTAAGCAACAAGTATGATATATCGAGTTCTTAGGTTTTCGCAATTGTTACATATAGGAAATGAAACAATTTTTCCGGATTTAAATCGCCATGACCATGGGACCTGTAAAGGGCCCGAAACGTCGGTTTGTTTGAAAAAACAAATATACGCGATTTAAATCCGGAAAAATAGTTTCATTTCCTATAACAAGTATGATAATTTAATTATGTATACCCGTAACAATAAATAACACTCGTAATGTGTAAAACACGATAATTATAATAATAAATTATAGTTTATTTCTCCTTCCAAAAGAATTTACAAAACAGAGAACATTTGAGGAAAGCTGGAGCCGAAACTAAATCAAAACATTTGTATTTTAGGTAAATAAAAAAAACTATACAAATACAAAAAGAACAGAAGGAAAATCCATAACGTGGAAACTAAAGAACATCACCATAATATTATACTTTTTAATACAGTTGCTCAAAACGTGGTATTTTTCGTACTACAAATCGTGCCGAAAGTTGGAATTTTCGCACTAGTGCTTTTTACTTTTCCATTATTTTTTAAATTTACTGTTGTTTCAAATCTTAATCACAGAACTAAAGAAGTTGCATATTTATGTGCTTTGTGACGTAAGTCATTCGTCATTAAAACTTATATTTATTTACAAATACTATATAATGAACGTATCGAGTGGAGGTCCACAGTCTCTGCCTACCCCTGAATGGGTGACAAGCGAGATTTTTATGTGTATATTTGTTCTATGTATTACAGATAAGTTGTATCTCACTACCGTGCACGGGTTCCTAAAGAAGTTTAAACAAAAGTACCAGGACTTCATAATAAGAAAAGTGGTTACAGACCGATATTACAGAAAATAAACAAAAACAGCACGTTAGAACTAGATTTCCATAGACTTTTAAATAATGGTTGCAGTGGTTGTATTTCATTATTTTAATTTACTAGCAGAAAATGAGTTTTTTTTAACTACTGTTTTATTTTACTTTCAATGTAGTTTTTTCGCAAATGTATTAAAAAACGTCGTTTGGTGCACGTGCGGATTTGTCATTTTCACTTGTCTCGAGTCTTGACCCTCGCCTCTGGCTCGGGCCAAGAAGCCTCGAGGCTCGTGAATAATGACTAACTTTCCGCACTTGTATCAAAAATAACTATTTTACAATCATCCCAGATTCAACTCGTACGTCATTTTTTTTATTTTATTTCTGAACACTTGCGAATGTGACCGATAATTAATATCCAATTCTGATTATTTTACTTTTATTGAAACTTAATTCCATGGATGCCAAGGCCCTTGAGTCGAAAATTTAAATTACAAAGATCTGACGGACACTACCACTGCTCCCGTCACCCTGAGACATAAGTTGACAAGTCCCATGTACCTGTAATTTCACCAGCACCCTTACCCTTCAAAACCGGAACACAGTAATGCTGACATTACTGTTTGGCGGCAGAAAAAGGTAAAGTCATCCCCTGGAAAGCTACGTTTTTGCTGCAAAAGCTTACTTTTAACAAGTTCGTTTTTTTCATTAAAAAACCTAACTATAAAAGATGCCTCAGTCGTAAAATTAATAAGTAAGTACGCTCAAGAAAAATCAAGCTATAACCAGTAATTGATTGATTTCATTTTGTTTGCATCTCGCGTAAACTATTTAGGATTGGGTCCGTTCGTAAACTGTTTAAGATTTACAATAGCAAATATATTTAAAATGAGATAAAAATCTTAAAGTTGTCAAAAGTCACAAAGATTACCTTAGGGTGATTCCAATTCTGGCTTGATATTTGCAAGAACATAGTCAAATGTTTCCACGGTTATCCTAGCGTTATCATAGAACTTGTCCGTGATTTTCTTCGGTCTTCGTAATTTCGCCTTTTTGCAGTACATGATCACGTCATCTTGCGCCTATAATAATTCATACTCATCATAACATAAAAAGGTTATGTCAGAGCACCGACATCACGCTCACACTCTCGTTACGTCTTTTTACCGCCGCATATTAAGCGATCTGGTCGCTGGCGTCCAGAACAGGACTGCCGCCCGCGTCGTTGTCGCCACCGCGTCGCCGCTCGTTGTTTTTTTTATAATATCAAGTGATGAGATGAACAAGTCGTGTTCACGATGGTAAGCTACATGCCTGTTCATAACAGTTGCAGTGCTACTCAAAGCTTTAAATCGCAAAGATCTGAGGGGCACTGCCACTGCGCCCGTCACCCTGAGACATAAGTTGACAAGTTTCATGCGCATGTAATTTCACCAGTTTTCCCGTTCGGGTCCCATGGTCACGACTGACCTAGTGTAGCAATCGCGAAAGGCCTTGAAAGAATTTGATAAGTACAAACTAGAGGATAATTCACTATCAGATCAAGGTTGTTACCAGTACTCTTAAGTTAAATATCGTGGAGTAACCATAGGACGTTAACTGAGACATCCAAAGTTGTACTAAACGGCTAATAGAATGACTAAACCAGTAACGCGTAGCTTCAAACGATCAATGCTTCTTCAAGTTTCTTAATAACTATCAAACTCCACCAAATAAAACAGAGACTCAACATGAATTACACGCGGCCTAGACCCGTCTAAATCTTAAATGAAAGAAAAAGCGTGATAAATACAATTTATATTATTATTAACAACAAAGTTTAAAGTCAATACACGCAATATTTTGTTGTGTACTTATAAATTGATACTTCCTCAGGGGACGATTTCGGGTCCTATGTTATATATACACTTTGTACAAATCTCAACGCAATAGGTCGTAGTCATTCTATTCCGTAGCGAATTCACCCGTAATAGCAGAAATGTCATTTATTTCGTTTGAAAATTATTTTACTACAAAAATACTGCCCTTCGAGGCCAGTCGAATTGAATTCACATCATTCCGACAAAAATTTTAACAAAACTCTGAACCTTTATCTTTTGCACGTGGTTTCTATTAGCTCAAAAATCGAACCCCTAGGATAACCCTCAGGTGTCATTTATCAATCGATTATGGTTTTCATGGTTCATTTTTCGATATTACGTCTTCGCTATTTCTGCTAAGTTCGATCGGATTAGTGACGTCAGCAAAAGCTTGCTCGCCTCGAAAGCAATATTCATCATGACTTAGCGTTTCTACGTAACATCCGTTTAAATTCCCAGGAGAACATAAGTCTGAAACATGTGATTGTAAGTAATATATGTATATAAAATGAGCTTTTTGTTCAGATTGATAAGAAAGGGTTGGTAAAAGGGATTTTATTTACCAAAAAAGCCTTCGTTTGTCCAATTTACTAGCAGTCTAATCTGATGGAAAGTAAGGATTTGGAGGAAGATTGTACACTTATGCCTAGAGGATGTCTGTTCACTTAGCACTTTAAAATATGTAGGTAGTATCATAAATAAATTGGTAATATGTTTTTGTCCCTACAATATACAAGCTTGTTAATTTAATCAATGGAGGATGATTGTATCAATTAATGCAAACAACTACCAATATGATCTCGTGAAATCACAAAAAAAGTGCCACACAAACACACCAACGACCTGATCTCAAACTATGGAATTCCATGTAGTTTGAGTACCAGAGTTTGGGGAATTTATCATTCTCCCCTAATGTATAATGAAACGGCCTTTTGAACCTCAATTGAACCTCAATTTTTGAATTTTACAAATAATTGCGACAATTTGAAAACACTGACTTGAGTGTCAAATTTTAGTTACTTCCATAGTATAATGTCCTACGAGATTCTCAAGCGGCAGATATGCAAACCATATTTGTGTTGCAAAAACGAGCGATTCGTTTTGTCTACCGTTTAGGTTCTCGGGCTTATCTCAGAGAAAAGTGTAAGGAGACTGGTATCATGACTGTGACTTCACTCTACATTTACTCAAATATTTTGTATGCGCGTAAAAATATACATTATTTCATTAAGAAAGAAGATGTCTATAATATTAACCTTAAAACTAAACTCATGGTACCATGCTTAAAAAATAACGTTTTCAAACGTAAAAATGTTACCTATGGAATAAATCATTATTTGACTTTTACTCAATCAACTATCAACCAAACCGAAACACTATTGAAAATCTTTGGCAAGTGTAACACTCTCCATGACGACTTTCACCCAAAGCAACTGCAAAAACCGCCAAACCACCCACGGAGTGAGAAAGGGTGCGGTTCGTAACAAGTGACATATTTTTAGTCGATATAACGCTCAACAGATATAATTAATTTATGGTATACAGACATTTGACATATTCTTGCATGCTATGAAGGGTATAATAAACGACTGATATAACAATTTTCAATCTAATATACTGGCGGCATAATGTTCATTTTATATGACAAGAGTATAATGTATTAATATAATTCGAGTGGTGTTTAGGTGCAATGGTGAATGAACCGAATTTGTTAGCATTTCCTAGTTGGTTCATCTTCCTCCTGTGGGATTAGGTTAGGTTAGTATATAACAAAACTGCACGAGCCGAACAACCGCAGCGAGCGTGCCGCGGCAGCGGCCGGCGAGTGCCAGAACCGAATTTTTTGCATTTGCTAGAAGAATCGACCTCCTTCTGTTGGTTTAG